TCACTGGTGGGAATGCCATTTTTTGGCAAATAAGATGATTGTTTCAGTGGGTAAACAGCCATTAGCACGAGGTCAACATAAAAAGCTGGATTATGTTTGGAAAAGGAAGCATCTGGGAAGAGATAAAGATATAATGTACAATGAGTACACACTGCTGAATCTCAGAGCCAATTTCCTTTCATTTTTTCTCCCTAGGGTAATGTTTATTTGTATAAAAGTAGCAAACACTGAAGTCCTCTGATGATTATTAATCCACACACATGCTTTGGGTAACCATCTGTTGATACCTTAAGACATACGCTGCTAAAACATCTCAAAATTAAAACAAAGAATGAAGACATATTAGAGATACTGTTGGTAGGTGGCATTTCAGATGCCCTTGATGATTGCCTAAGAAGGAGAATTTGGTGGCCATTAAACTTAATGAAGTTCTAATCTCCTTTTTTTTTTTAAAAAAATGGCCAGTCTCTGAAGCCTATTCAGTCAAAACATCTGGAAGCCAAGTGACAATCTGATTATGTCAAAGCCTTTGTTTTCCAACTAGTTCCCCTCTGTTGCCTATAAACAGTCCAGTGCAAACTTTTCAACAAGTTACATGAAAAATCGTGGATTATTACTGTATGTCATCCCTTTCTCCTCTGCTCCCTGAACTTCCTTTCAAATGCAAATCTATAAAGAAAGGAAATGGTTTCTTCCTGACCTGTTTATATTTACTTATTTATATCTAAATTCAACTTGGTTTCCTAGAAGATGGAAACAAATTTCCCTGATTTTTTCATCTGTACTGTACCTTCTCTCTCTCTCTCTCTCTCTCTCTCTCTCTCTCTCTCTCTCTCTCTCTCTCTCTCTCTCTCTCTCTCTCTCTCCCTCCCTCCCCCTCCCTCCCTCCCTCCCTCCCTCCCCCCCTCTCTCTTTCTCTTGACTTGGCTCTCTCTCCATTTAAATTTTAGAACAGGGAGAAAGATTTACACTTTAGAAGCATATGGCATTCATTTTTTTAAAAAAAGATTAATTTAAATGGCATATTGTACACCTTTTTTGGTGAATGTGGATACCAAGTTCTCTAATTATATTGCCCCGATTGGACAGCTACTGTGATGTAAGATCTAATCTGGTTGCTTGCCTGGAAAATAGCTGAAAAAGTAGTTGTGTAAGGATCACCAGGCCAGGCTTCCTTTTCTTTTTCTTTACTCTTATATTTTATTCTTTATCTTCACAGCTATCATTATGAGGAGGAAAAATAGATGCAAAGATAAAACAGCTAATAATAGCACTATTTAATTAAAAACAGCATTCCCTATTCCCAAAGACCTGCTGTTTTCTTTTCTAAAGCTCAGCACCATGTATGCATGGACTCAGCTGCACACATCACATGCATGCACATAGAAAAACACATGGGAGCAGGAAGAAGGGGAGAAGACGGGAGAGGGAGAGAGACATTCCTTTTAAATCGTTCAGGATGATGGAGAACCTCAATTTACTCCATTTTACAAACTTTTAACTTCTTTTCCCCTTGTACAGACATATTTTAGATCATTTTCTCCTGATTACTATAATTACCTGTTGCACATGTTAAAACATGTTCACTATCAGTGCAATAAAACAAAATCTACAGGCAGTTTCTGGTTTTGAGTCTATTGCCCCAGGCTGTTCATAATACAAGACGAAAGTTTATATTGTGGCTGGATGGACAGTCTGCCAATATTCGCTGCTCTTTTTCACTTGATTTCTCATCCTGCCACCTTCTATGTCTATTTTGCTTCAGGCTATCTAGATTCCCTTCCTCTCTCTTGTTAATTGATGGAGCTTTTCAAGGAACACCAGAGTCAGCTCTCCAGCTGCAGTGTGGAAGACCTTCATCAGTCCTGGCTGAATTGCCAAGGAAAATGGCACGTTTATAATTTAGCACTTATGCAAACAGTGGTAGGCATTACATTCAAAGCAAAAAGTCTGCAGATATAAAGCAAAGATGCTTCTGGATAGGAAAATATGGGATATACAG